AAGGCCGAAACAGTACTGTCTGCAGTTATATATATATTTATAGACTTCCTCAGTATTTAATCCTCAGACAATACACTACAATAACACGAATTGAATTGAGAAATTCTCGGAGAGCCTTAGCAAACTTCAAACTTCGCTAAACATTCGTGTCAGTCCAAAAAGCCTCATCTTCTGCGCGAACATCGCGCTCAACAAAACTGTTTCATAAAAAAGGATAAGTAACGCGAAACATTAATATTCCAGAAGACACGATAGACTTTAAAAAAATCACGGTCAGCCGAATTTCCCAATAGCACGTACACCAACGTGGCATCTTTGTTGTTGCTTGAAACGAGGAATGATCTTCGAAGTTGTGCACACAACTCTCTTGGCAATTATAAAGATAAACACTGATAAAACCAGACTTCAAAGCCATCACTTGGAGGTGCTCGTAGTAGCTGAAATTTGAAGTCACCTAATTTGAAGCCACCTGTTTGTTGATAAAACTGATTATTACTTTTGGAGAAGCTGACAAAGGCAGCAGAACTGATGGAATTTCTCGTCTGTGATTAAATTTTTATCCTTACTCCAGGACTGAAAATAGCTGGTGTATCCTTATAAATCAGTTTGCCAACTGCCATTTATAAGTGTCTAGGTTTATTAGTTGCATTACGATAAATCCTTGGAAATGCATGGGAACTCTTTTTAAGACATATCATAGGTGTAATCATCCAAGAAAATCCTTGACATTGCTATTCTTATGTGCGTTTATTACTGTACCCATGTAGACCTATAAGTTATTTCAAGATCAAAGTATGGTGGTAAAGGGGGTCGCATTTTTGTTATCTACTTAGATATTCTTGATAATTTATGGTAGACATGTAGTTAAGTGGTAGAAAGTTTCATCAATGTCAGAAAGCTGGAAAATCTTTTAGGAGACTTTCATTTCTTGGGATGTATTTTGTTAATTATTTTAATATTCCTAGATACCGTATAAGTTTGGCGAGAGAAATAAAGATATTTAGTGAATGTTTAAATGGCGAATTGCAATTTAAGCTATTTTTATCCTCATTAACAGAACTGCTGTTGCGTTCTTGCCAATTCGAAATTCAGTAAGTTACTTTTGTTTATCATTTGTTGGTACTTCAAACTTCTCTGTTTGTTTATCTGAATGCTTCTACCTTTGTGTCTTAGTAACGGTTATTAATTAATTCTATTATTTTCCACCAGCTTGAGTAAAACAAATTATCCTTGCTATCCTTGGATTTGACGTTCTGACATCACGAAGCATACATCACTTTTTTAACCAAGGAAACAGAAAGTGAAATGTTTTATTCTGTTTTGTGATTTTCAGGTTCTTTTGATTATGTTTACTGGCCTTTAAATGGAAGTGAAAATGATATTGGGTGAGTGAGATGATTGCTATGACTTCTGGGAATTCCACCCATGCTTGAAACGGTGTCGCTAGGCTGCAGTCTAAATGGGCTAGAAAAATATTTTGATGCATCAGCCAAAGCATCTGCTCACTTGTGGATTGTAAACTAACGTTTGACGTTACATTTTACCCGTCATTCGAATACACAAAGAAAACACGCTGTTTTTCACGGGTGTTGTGAATGAAGCAAAACCCCGATTGAATTGTTTGTACATCATTGATGCTTTTAGTAGAAATAGGCCTACTTTTTTTCAGACATAAATGTCGCATAAATGTTTTTAGTATTGTTTATGACAGAAGCTCATGACCTAGAAGCGTCTAAACTCTCCTATATTGTCTATAAATAAGCTGGGGTTTATTAACCGGCCAATCAGAAGCAAGGATGCAATTTTTGTCCAAATGCGGAATAAAAGGTTTAAGCAGTGTTTTCCTTTATAAAAACTCACATCAGATTACAAAGAGGTATTGAAAAGCTTACAAGAATGAATGATTAAGCCATAATCTTTATTGGGAAGCACTGGATAAGTTATGGTAATTGATTACCCTTAGGAAAGACTTGGATACCATTTTCTGAAAAAAATTTCAGTTCAACTCCGCCTTTAAAGGTGGCGGTCGGTGATTGCGCGGTAGATACGAATAGATCAGGAGGATTGTTTTGACAGTGTGAAATCCCTGACGGAAGGGACTTCCACAGGTAAACTTAACTGCAGTGAAAATAAGCTTCTGAGTTTTCATCGAGACGAAAGGATATTTGGATATTTGAATCCATGTGCTTTCAAGAGAGCAAGAAGGTGGAAAATATGAATGTCGAACCCGCAATTTACAATTTAAGTTAAGTTTTTTGGAGTTGTAAAGTTGTGAAGAGTAGTTGACTAGACTGAAGTAAATGATATTTTCAAGAATTGATTTACTTCCTAAGTTTTGTTTGACCGAAGATTTGAGACTGACTGAAAGTGAGTAGCGTCTAAATTCCAGATGTAACGGTACACAATATTTAATCGATGAGAGGGAAAGTTGTAAAAATGCGACCGATTACGCTAAAATAACGCTTGCAGCAAAAATTAAAGTGCGCACAAAGTTGCAGTTACACAAGATTTGTTTTCAAAGACAAACGCTGTAGTTTATTTGATTAAAATGTTTTTACTCCCCTAGTCAATTTAATATTGTGCCACAGTTGTCATGTGGTCGGCTCGTTTAGTGGACGAATTTGTGTAATAAACTTTATTTATATAGCGTCTATATCACTAATTGCTCTAGGCGCTTAACAATATCACAAAATGTATTAAAAAAACATTGAAAAATCTAACAACTACATATATAAGCATGGAAATTAAATAGAAATATATTCACAAATCGAAAAAGGCTTGGCGAATTAAATATGTCTTTGAGTGTTTTTTGAAAGAATTCAAGGAATCGCCATTTCTCAAGGATGCGGGTATGCTGTTCCTTAGTTTAGGTCCTGCAATAGAAAATCTTCGATCACCATAAGACTTAAGCTTAGATGTCGGGACTTGAAGTAACTTATTCGAACAAGAACGCAAAGAATAGGAGCTGGTACAAAAGCTGAGCAAATTGGATATATAACTTGGTGAAAGTCCATTGATAGCCTTATATACTGACAATAAGATTTTATAAGCAATGCGGTATTCAACAGGAAACCAATGTAAGTCTATTAAAATGGGAGTTATATGTTCATACTTCTTTGAGAATCTCACATACGTGCTGCCCTATCCTCTTCTGAACTAGCTGTAGGCGGTTTAAGAGAACTTTAGGTAATTCATATAGAATCGCATTTCAGTAGTCCAAGTTAGTAGTCACAAAAGCGTGAATAATTGCTTCAGCAGATTCACGATCCAAGTATGTTCTGATCTTACCAACATTAGTTAGATGGAAATGACATGTTTTACATATCTTTTTAATGTGGTCTTCCATATCAGCACTGGGATGGAGTATCACTCCAAGATTACGAACAGAAGAGGACGGTTGAATAGTTTCACCCCCAACAAGAAATGACGAATTCCAATGAAGGACTGGGCCGATAACGTGAACTGAGTAGAAGCAGCTCGGTTTTTTCCTCTTTTAGCTTAAGACCATTAAGAATCATCCAATTGTTGATTTCCTGTACACATATTTCAATTCTAGATTTTGCTGAGGAGAGAAGGTTATCACTTCCTAATTTAAATGACACATAAAGCTGAGTGACATCAGCATAGAGATGGTACATAAGATTGTCTCTTTATGATATCAGCCACTGGTGAAGTGTACATAACTTATAACAGAGGCCCAAGGACAGACCCTTGCGGTACACCACAATTAAGTTCACGTAACGAGGATCACGTAACGAGGATCACGTAACGAGCATTCAATCTGAACAAATTGTGTACGAGATGATAGGTAGGATGCAAACCATTTCAGTACAGACCCTGTTATACTATAACGTTGAGAAAGCCTATCCAGTAGTATTTCATGAGACACAGTATCAAATACAAGAGATAAATCTAACATAAGTAGTACAACGACTTCGTTTCTGTCAATTGCATGCAGATTATCATCTTGCACCTTCACAATGACAATTTTTGTAGAATGAACTGTATGGGCTGACTGAAAGTTTTCAAGTAGGTTATTTTTCATCAAATAGTTGGTTAACTGGAGAGCAACACTTTTCTCAATAATCTTTGATAGCGCTTTCAAATTGGAGATAGGTCTAAAGTTCTTGAATTGTGAAAATTCAGCATCAGGTTTCTTGAGCAGGGGTGACAATGCTACAGATTTCAAACACGTAGGCATGCAGCCATCACGAAGAGAGAGGTGTTAGCAATAGTAGGCAGCAGTAGGTCTATACATTGTTTGATAATAGAGGATGGTAATGGATCCAAGACACAGGACTTCGAGAACAGTGTTGCAGTTAGTTCCCTGATGTCATCAAGTTTCATCTCAGTAAAAGTTGAAAATTTAGTCGAAGACATTGTGAGTACCTCATCAGCTACATTGTGAGTACCTCAAAGCTACTTCAAAGAAACAATCATCGGGAAAGGCTGTATCATTTTGTGTTTCAGTGTGTAGGTTTATCACCCGTTTACTCTCTTATGGGATTGAAAGCAAGTTGTCTCCTGTGTCTGAAAATTCAGGTAAAATGGTAACTTTTTGGGAGAAAACTTACTATTTATTTTCGAAAGAAATGAGTTGTTTATGTCCTTATGCGTTCGCTACAAAGTGAATGGTTTACCTATTGAAATTTGATTGCGTCTCCATTTAGAAAAATTGGGTTTAATTCATTTTGAAGAGTTCTAAAATGTTGAATTTCATTAGCTGTAGTGGCTACATATTAGGTGTTAAGCTCTGCTCTGACCCGCTTGCGGGGTAAAATTCCCGTTGTTTAGCTGTAATAATATTTCCAAATGTTGAGGAAAAACAATAAACTTGGCTGTCAATTAAACTCCCGAAGCGTGCGAAGCACTTCAAATAATAACTTTGCGGTTTGCATCCTTCATGATGAATACAACTTTAGTCGGTTCTCTAAACTATGGTCGAGTTTGAAGTTTGAAAACTACAATTTGATAACGTATTCCCGATTAGTGCCGATGTAAAGTTTTTACTTATTACGCATTCAGTTATAATTAGAGATGAACAACTCCCTATTAGGAAGTAAATTCTGATTAGCGAGTCTCACGCTCTAATAAACCTCGGCTCTCGGACATGCATAATCGGCTCTCGGACATGCATAATCGCTTCAGGGTTATATGCTTTTGGTCAAAGCAATTGATGAAAATCCATCCCGGCCTGCAAAGGTTTCCCAATTTTTAAACGATTTTTAATTCCTTTGCTCAAATATAAACTTGTGGAACTCGTTTTATGTGTGATACGAACAAAACCTGTTGGACTCGTTGGTCAAGCCAGTTCCTTTGTTCTGATACTAAACCAATTGTCTTTTAAAAGTCGAATATTTTCCTGGACGCTATTCCTACTTCCTTTTATCTTGGAAAGCTGTTACATGGTGGGGCGAATCATGTCTGTATGTTTTACTGTAAAGCACGACCGCTTATGTATCGGATCTCTCAGTTTCTAGCTGAGCAATAGAACATTTTTTTTTAGGTGTAATACGTGTTAAAACCACTTGGGATGTTGGAAGAACACGAGGAAAGCTTATAAATCACTCGCTTTCGCTTCGTGATTCATAACCGAGTGTTCTCCCAACATCCCAAGTGGCTTTATTACGTTCAAGAGCCCGAAAAATAATTTGTTCTATTGCTTTCATGACATAACTAATTACACGCGGGCTCTATAACCTGATAAAGCATCCGCTTGGAAACTGAGTTGACCAATCAGACAATGCGTGGTATGTTCTTTATGTTATAAAATGCATTAGTTGCAGCCATCACGTGTATAATTATCCGAGCTGGCCCGGCACCACATAAGAAAGCGACGCTGTGTATTCAACTTTGACACGATGATAATTGAAATAAAGCCAAAAAAAGAGTTCCTATTATCGACACTTTCACCAAAAGGTTCTATTTCCACGTCAGTCACTGTATGTTAAGCAAAAGGTGGTTATTTTTCAGGTACGAAGCATCGGATTTTACGAATGGTCGATGTCCCGAAAGCAAGTCGCTTAGTTTCCACACAGTAACTAATACTACTAATGCTACCTCCGTAGAAGCTCCTTGTTTGCCCCTCAATGGTGAAAGTTTTACGTTTTCCGTTTGGCTTAAGTTTGCCCCGAATGGCCAGATCAATCAAACGTTTTATGCAGACCTAAGAAACTCAAGAAATGGTTTTTATTTGTACGTTCACAAACAGGTGATCCGTTTGACAGTGATTCTATTCACTGATCGTAGTGAACTCTTTAAAAGCAACGAAAAAATCGCATATAACACCTGGACACACCTTGCTGTAACATTTAGGAAAGAGGTCGGTTATCTCATTTTCTACATCAACGGCAAGAAGCAGAAAGATGCATCACTTTGGCAAGGATTTGGTTATCTTACTGGAACATCGAAATGTACCATAGGAAACTTGCCTGACGGCTGGAAAAACGAAACTTATCAGTTATACGGATCAGTGATGGATCTGTATTTCGTCAACTCCTCAGTGACTGATGATAATGTCGATGCCCTTAGAGGTATGTATTAGGTTACAAATATTCTATATCTTCGATCTCAGCCGAGGCACATACTGTACGGTCTTTGTATATCTTATTGTTGATATAAACAAAATAAAATAGATTTAAGAAAAAGTATACTAATTCCAGTTCACAAAACAATTTTGTCTTCCAATAATTTATTATTATCCACGTGGCAGGTTTCCCAGTTATCGAGAAGTTCGCAAATCAAGTAAAGAATTCCGTTGTGTTGGTGAAATGGATGCCCCCTTTACAGGGACAGTGTCCAATAAATGCCTACAGCATTTACTTCAAAAACAGCGATACCAACTGGACTCCAACATCACCTCGAAAGCTGCCAAAGAACACGACCACGTACCTTCTTAAGCTTTTCTGTCATACAGCATACCAAATTGCAGTGACTGCGTGGAGTTCACAAGGAGAGTCATCTCTGGAGGACAGCAGGGTTTGGAAAGTAACCACTGGTGGAGGTAATGGTGACTGCTATGTGATAATTATGTAGTTTCGTTTATATTTTACCAGTTTCAGATCTTTAACGTGTCAGCATGGTGATAGAGGCCATTAGATTTTCTCGTGATGGTGACAGTGTTTGTTTCGCATGGAAGAGATTTACTACTAGCTAGGTTCGAGTAAATTAGCAGCAGTCAGTGAAGAGCAAAAAAGTTGCCATCAGTATTATTATTTTCCTATTTTCGAGTTTCCTTAAAAAAACGTTCATGTAATGGCTATCGTGTATCCCGGTCTGAGTCTAGGTCTTTGCTTAAGTTACCTTTTCCTGCCGTTAAATACTTTTTAGGTTACAGACGAATAATGCTAACAATGACTTTTAGTAAACATCTTTACCTCTGAGTTCCTCTCACAGGTTGCTTGTCTTTCCACTTTATATTTTAACAGACAAACCAATTCCCCCCATTATCACCAACCTGAAAATGTCTGCCTGTGTTGTCAATCTTACATGGACTGTCAGCGGAGATGCCTCATGTCCGCTGAACAAGTACACTATTTACTACAGGCAAGAAGACTCACCATGGAATAAGATTGAAATCAATACGGTGGCAGTAACTAACCATCAATGGTCATTAAGGTGTGACACGCAGTACGAGTTTGCCGTGTCTGCTTGGAATGACATGGGTCAAAGCAACTTCTCAGCTACTTGGAAAAAGAAGACCCAATCTGATGAAGGTAACAGTCTTTGCATCTGCTTTATATCAAGCTCATCCTTGCTAACGGTGCAAAGAACAGATACAGCAAAAATATTAATTTGTAAAGCATACTTAAAATACACAATTCTTGATTGCTCAAAATAACTGTGCCGCTTATCGAGATGAGACAAAGACGTATATTGACATCAATGATTCAATTGACAACAACAAATTTATAAATTTGGTGATAAGGACAGATTACTACAATTGACAAGCACATAGAATATGGCAGTGAAGTTTACTTTAAGAGCGAATGTTTGAATTGACCGAGTGAAAATCGAAAAATGTGACACATGATCGAGAAATCGAAAACCTTCATATTTTTCCGAGAGATCCTTTATAGTGAACTTAGAAACGTGGTAAAGTTTTTTTTCCCCAAACTTGCTTCTTTATCCAAGAAAATTCACGAAAACTGAAACGAGCGTCAGTAGCCGTAAAATGGCGGAAATCAGTGCCCTGAGTAGAAGCAAATGAACTTTGCTCATGAAAAGCGCAAAAGAAAGCAAACTCGTATCAATTCTACAAATTTGTATTGGAGGGATTGAGGTATGACTAAGTCTAAAACGGGACCATTTCATTTAATTTTGACATCACGGAACGCTTTTAAAGATCACCAATATTTCAAAATCCAAATATCACATTTCGTAACAAATTTCCAATTATCATTTTCTCCATGCGCTATAACTCAGAGTCGGTTCAGGTTAAGCAGCCATGATAAGTGGAAATGGTGTTGTTTTCAAAGATATATAAATTAGTTTGGGGCTTTTCATTTCCGCACGGAAAAACCAGGCTGAACTTTGTGAAAATCGCAACATCGTCATTTACGTCACCACATAATCTAATAGCCCATTTCCGAATTACCCTTGGCCTCATTTTCAAAACGAGTCCTGGTGCTCCTCCTTTCATATGATAATAAGTTTTCATTCACATGCAAATTAAACTCATTTTCACAAGAATGGTTGAGCACCAGGCCTCGTTTTGATAAAAGAGGCCAAGGGTAATTTGGAAATGGGCCATTAGGCACCCCGTGGTTAAAGCCGGAATTCCAAGCACATTTTAGAAGTTAGCACCGTGTTCGATCAGGAAATCAATACAATAAGCTAGCCTTGCATAGCTAACAACGACAGATTGGTTTTTATCCCTGCTTTCGTTTCAAATTCTCATCCATTTCCCATGGCAAAATTGTTTACAACAACACGTTCCGTAAGCTAGCGGAGGGCGTCGGTTTTTCTTTGCGTATTCGAACACCTACAAGTTTTAAGAAAGTTCCAGCGTAAACTTAAGCTTCATTATGGACTTGAAAGAGGACAATTCAATCATTTATAACGGCAGGTCAAATGTTCTTTGCCGAAGACGTTGAAGACAGGAAGCAACCTGATACTAATATAAATTAAGCATACTCAAGCGTTTGTCGCGCAGTCGAAATATTTTCGATCGCAAAAATACATTTTATCGTTCCCTTCTTGCGGTTTTTTCGGTCATGAGAATACGAGAAAAACTTGTTCATTAGATGATATAAAATATGTTACCTTGGAATAGTGTTTCACTGAAAAGCAGAGATACAACTGTAGGAGGACTCACCCCCACCCCCTTGAAAACCCCGATGAGCGAGTGAAAGAAGACACTACGGCACCGTTTTTCTCGGTGATTATCAAAAAAATGACATCGTTAGGTGGAGGGATGCTGAAAGTACTTTGCTAGAAGAAAAAAATTGATGCGTCGATCAATTCAAAGCTTCAACATCGCCTCCCCTCAGGAATTTTAACTTTTGAAGATTGATTCCAGCCCCCCTGGGCCAAAATCGTGTTCAAATGCCCTGCCCAATGCTAAATTCTAGTGGTTCTCGATGGGGTTAACTGTTAGCCATAAAACGGAGAAAATTAGCCGTTAGGCGTAAAAATTGACAAATTTTAACTGTGAGTCCTAAAAATTATGTAAACGCACAAATTTAGCATAAGCCATACAAAATGGCCAAAAAATGTTACCGTTAGCCGTGAAAGCCATCTCTCCATTGAGATAATTTGGTAATATCAACTAAGTTGAAATTGTAAATTGGCCACCGTGAAGAGTTAAAAAGCCGACGTTTCGAGCGTTAGCCCTTCGTCATAGCGAATGGAGGAATTGTGGGTTGTGTGTGGGTTTTATGCAGAAAGTGGAGCTTCGCTATTGGTGGGAACATGGTGACGAGAAAAACACGAATAGATTAGTAGAATGAAAGGCGTTCGTTGATACCTATGGGGTTAAGAGAGCCGATTTGAAAGATAAACTTTTGGTCAAGGGTTTTGCAGCTTTCCGGGCTACGTAAATGTAAGGAAAGGCCACAGATTACCAGATGTTGTTTAGAATTATTAGGTAGATCATAGTGTCTAGCGACTGGTTTTAATGCGTCCTTGTCATTCCTTTCTACGTCGCGAAGGTGTTCCCGGAATCGGTCAACAAGTCACTAAGGTGCGGGATTGCAGAATATCAAAATATCAAATTAACTGTGAGATTTTGAGATTCTGAGACGTTGATATTATTTTGATGTTATGAAATGATTGTTGATACATCCAAGCCAACATTTGATATGATATGATATGATATGATACCGCTATCGAAAACTAGGTTTTGTAGCCACGTCAATTTTATCGGCCGTTGCCTTTATTCTAAAGTTATTCCTAGGGGTTTTTTGCTCCAATTTTCATGCATCTTCTTTTACTAATCAATATCACCACCAAACTCAGTGCGCCCAAAATTCTTTTTCACGCAACATTATGAGAAATACCATCAAAGCTATATGCCAAAAACGTAATCACCTCACCGAACAAATTCTACACTGCCGCTCTGAAATTTCCAAAATCTGTCCAGCAGTTTTAGTACATTCTATACGCGCCAAAATTCAGGAAACTAATTCCAAACTTTTCAATCATTTTAATCAAATTAAGGCCCAAAACTTGACCAACTTATCGGCCCCCAAATTGCTAACCACTCACCACCAGAAAACCTCAAAATTGTAGTTACCATTCCAGAAAATCTTTCACTTTCCGATTCAGAGAAATACGTCCTCAGTAAGGGCTGAAATTTTGTTCCCATTTCTAAAACAACGAACGAATTCTCCGTTAAACAAGGCGTAGAAAAATTCCTTCCTTCCTTTTTCAATGCCAAAGAAGATGATTCTAACACCTCTAACAAAGACACTTTCGAAAATCTTGAGATTCAAAAATCTAAATGGACTCCCCCAGAAGGCCAGTTCGCATCATTAGATTTTTTCATCAAAAAATGTCGCCACGACATTAACAAACTTAATTTCAATCGTAGTAACAAATTTCCAATCGTTCCTCTGAAGAGTGCTCGGCACTAAAAACCCTAAAAAACGCAAAGACATTGTTATCAAAGCGGCCGACGAGGGCGGCTCAGTACTTGTTTGGCGGACCGACCTCTACCAAAAAGAAGCTTGGCGGCAACTTTCTGACACCTCTTTTTATCAAACAGTTGACAAAGATCTCACTTCCATTAATCAAAACACCGTCAAAAATACGATTAACGAGCTTATAGCTATACAAGAATTGCTGGCCACTGCAAAAAATCTCATCATAACCACTCCTAGAACTTCTTATATTTACTTTTTACCTAAACTTCACAAACCTAATAACCCAGGTCGGCTCATTGTCTTGGCTTGCAGTTGCCTTACCGTACTTATTTCTAGCTATTTAGAGAAGATTATGACTCCCGTCGTCAAAACTTTACCATTATACCGTAAATCTTCTATTAAGTCCCCCGGGGGGCTTATTTTTTTCAGTCACTTTTGAGGGGGGGCTTAATCATGAGAGATTGGGGGCTTAAAAGAGAGAGGGGGGGGACTTATTTAATTTAGCGAAACGCATCACCTGTAGCAGAAATACCGTGGTATGAGACAGAGTAGGCTTACGCGTTGTACAATTAAAGTCACTGTCAAAAGTATTTAATTCACTTGTGGGAGCCTAAAAGTAACAAAGGGAGCAGGATTGGCGTAGTGGTGAGAGCGCTCACCTTCCACCAATGTGTCCCGGGTTCGATTCTCGGACCCGGCGTCATGAGTGTATTGAGTTTGTTGGTTCTCTACTCTGCTCCGGGAGGTTTTTCTCTGGATACTCCGGTTTTCCCCCCTCCTCAAAAACCATCAGCATTTGAATTTATTTAATTTAGAGTTTATTTAGATTTACACACGACGCCACAAGCTTTTCAGCTTTAAACATTATCGTTTCTAAATAAAGGTGTTATTATTATTATTATTATTATTATTATTATTATTAAAAAATTTGGTTCCGGTCTCATGTTCTTCGGTAATTTTTATGAGAATGGTTACTTGTATTGATTTGTCGTATACAACTTACAAACGAAAATCCCTGGAAAACTCCTCTTATATTTACATTTCTTATCTCTTACATTTAATTATTTTATATAAACAGCCTTGAAATTTAAAATACTACGGTATTTTGTAATTTGATAACCTAAACAAAACAGCGGAAAGTGAAATTGAAAAGTTAGAAACTTTATGGTCACGATTCAATATCAATGTCAAGGATTTCATCCTCATCATCCTCATCCAAAATAAGGTGTGCGACGTCTTCTTGAGCCATCTCTTCTTCTGGAACAGTAGTGCACTCGAAAGGATCGGTCTCTTCCTCCTCTTGGTGAAACGTTTGCAATCTAGGTAACAGACTTTGGTATGGACGTTACACGTTATTTGATCATCCTCCGACCCATCAAGGTTAGACGATAATGAGCACACCTTAGATGACTTCTTAATTACCTCTTCGGGTAACTTTTTCCAGGCTTCTCATACCCATTCAATCATTTGCTTGCCGTGATGGCGCTTTCATATTTCCATGCGCTGTCATTTGGTGTTCGCTTTCCGCTAGCCAACTGTCATACATCTCTCTTAAATATTCTTTCATGGGCCTATTCCAACTTACATCAGGAGCCTGGATAAACTTTGTGTAGCCACCAGCTATAATTACA